ACATTTTTAAATGAATATTATGGTGTTTTTTTGACGTCTAAACACGTTATCTGGTGACGTGTTTATCACGTCACTGTATGACGTCTTTGATCTGTGACATATTGCCGTCATAATCACGTCACTAGCACGTCATAAATTGGTGATTTCGACGTAAAATGTGCCGTGTATTTCACGTGAAAATCACGTGTCGGTGCTAGCTGGGGCGCGCGCGCGCCCGCACACACACACACACACACACACACACACACACACACACACACACACACACACACACACACACACACACACACACACACACACACACACACACACACACACACACACACACACACACACACACACACACACACACACACACACACACACACACACACACACACACACACACACACACACACACACACACACACACACACACACACACACACACACACACACACACACACACACACACACACACACACACACACACACACACACACACACACACACACACACACACACACACACACACACACACACACACACACACACACACACACACACACACACACACACACACACACACACACACACACACACACACACACACACACACACACACACACACACACACACACACACACACACACACACACACACACACACACACACACACACACACACACACACACACACACACACACACACACACACACACACACACACACACACACACACACACACACACACACACACACACACACACACACACACACACACACACACACACACACACACACACACACACACACACACACACACACACACACACACACACACAGACAGACAGACACAGACATCATCGCGAAAATAGTCAAAACGGATTCAGGGGACCTCAAAACGTAAAAATCCGTCGAAAACTCGAGGTCGAAAAAAATCATGATTCCTATACTTTCCTTATATCTGTATACAGATAGGAAAGTAAAAAAGTCGTTAATTAATTAGAACTTGTTCTATTTTCTACTAAATTTAGTACTAAAAGTGCGTCGAAATGTTGCGCAGAAGTTTTTCATAGAAAAAATTGACATGACGGTATTTTCTGTACCATTTTGTTTTTAATTGGCGAAAATTTTGCATTATCGACTTGAATAAAGTTCGCTTATTTGATTTTGTAGATTTTATTGTGTTTTTTTCGTGGTTCATAGTAATATTTGAGCATATTAATCTAATTAAGAATCTCTTTGTATAACACTTTTTGGTAAGGATATCATCTAATATCACCAGAAGATTGCATGCAAAATTGACTTTCTTATAGGTGACATAAAACTGTCCGTGAGAAAAGCAGTCCCCTAACGCTGTTGGGGTATAGCCATCGAGATATGTCGTTTCTATCAATTCACTCTTATTTTTCATACCATGGTGTAAGATGTTTCATTTATTTATTTTCATTTATTTTTATTTATTTTCATTTATTTTTATTTATTTATTTTTATTTATTTTCTCTGCTTATTTCACGTATTAATACGTCAATGCGCGTGCGCCTATAGTTAATTTAGTACTAAAAATTGGTATCGTTGCAAACGGAAAAAAATATTTTTAGTTCTAAATTTAGTACTAAATTAATGAATTAATTTAGTGCTAAGTTTAGTACTTAATTTAGTATCGTGACATACAGCCTTTAGTGTTTATTTATTTTTCTAACAAACTAAAAATGAAAAATAAGAAAATTTGATCGTTTATGAAAAAATTTGGTACGGTTTATTGCTCTATGAATGGTCTTATATTGATATTTAGCCGTTTCTACAACAAGAAATCAGTGAAAATTGTTTATTTTACATTTGTTTTATGATGGAGACCCGACAACAAATTTTAAGGATTTTGGATTTTAAGGTAAATTTTGATTTAAATAAGTGTTAGCGGACCCAAAATTGTTATGTATAGTGTGTTTCAAAGTGTCTAGAAACGCTTTATAACATTTCAATAGTTATATCCGCCGTTCGAGTGTCGGCGTGTAATACCCAAAAATTTACCAGATCTTTATTCTGGACTAATGCTTCTAAAAAACAACGTAAAGATATTTTTGAAGAATTTGAAACCAACACACCGGAGCCAGGCAGGACAGATTGTTGATATTAAGCAGGAAATCATCGAATGTGAAGAGCCTAAAATTGAACAACGTTTGGATTTGCTGTCCAAAATGGACGGTGTTTCGATGCCCGTCAAAAACGTGCAATTTTATCCTACAACTATTAAAAAAAGTCTGCAACACTAACACTAGTGAAGTGATAGGTACTGATATTAGAGATATAAAGGGAGGCATTAGTGAATCAGTTCAGTCTAACGTTGAACTTTTGACTACGGATTGTGATTTACCTACTTTGAAATATGAAAATATTGAATATTGTTTAACAGAGTCGTGCTCAAGGGAACAAGATGACAGGAATGAAAGGATATCTAATAAGTCAAAAAATAATTCAAATGTTATAAATACTGTTATGTGAGCCATTTCATTATTCAGTCATGCTCTAATCCACCAAGTCCCTCTCTATCTTATTTGACCTTTGAGGCTCAACTTGTCCGATTATCATACATAATTAAACCCCTTAAGACCAAAGCTATGTGACGACTATGGCGGAGGAGCTTTCAATTAATGTTCGGTCATCTGCATAGTGGCTAGAAATGGACCAAAATTTAGAAAAAAGTTCTCCGAAGTATTAATCAATATATTAGAAACACATTTTTATTATTTTTTAGTCTTTGAATATTATATTAGTATCAATTATAATTCAAATTTTTTCTTACTTTGAGTTTTTAATTTGTTTATTTCTTATAGTATGTGATAGTGTTTATATTAAAAATCTGATGTGTCCAACACATAATTTTCTTATCTAGTTATTACAGGCTCGTTTCAGTTATTTTGTACAACCTATTGTAGCACCTCTGTAAATGTTTAGAGGTTAACTTAATATATACATTTTCCACATACATCTAACTAACTCTATATACATTCATGGCCAACGAAAATACTGAAAAATTTAAATTATATACTTTTCCACCAGTTTTTCCATTACGGTTAATTTTAGAGAAAAGCATGTAAAAACAAAACTTATTGAGATTGATATCGCAAACATTATTAGTTTAAAAATTTTCTTAAAAATCAGAATGTTTTACATCTAATCAGTTAACTGGAGGCCGGTATAAAGCTTAAGTTTGAAATTTGGTATTTTTCTTTGTGTCCGTTCATGAGTTATCGAGGATACAGACACACACAAATAGTCAAAACGGATTCAGGGGACCCCAAAACGAAAAAACCGTCAAAAACTCGAGGTCGAAAAAATCATAATTCCTATACTTTCCTTATCTGTATACAGTGTTGTTCCTAGGGATTTTTGAATTGTATAACTTTTAATGTCAAAATTGTACACTTTTACGTTCGATTGTAGAACCACTAATTTAGTCTACTACTTCCCGATGCTTAAAATTCTTCTTTTTTCCAGTTTAAAAAATGTTTTCAATGTAAAACGGTGTACTAATTGGTCGCGAATGACGCCAAATTCAAACATTATTATTTTATTAATTTTAATGCATACGATTTACGATATACCAGATTTTACATAAATATTTAGCAACTTCAACTTCAAATTGTACAACATTTCTACCTTTTTTCAAAAGTGCGTACAACCACATAACTGATTGTACAACTTTTTGTACAACCAGGAACAACACTGTATGTATACAGATAGGAAAGTAACTAGACAAAATATACCTAATAAAACATGAAAATTAACATAAAAGATTAAAAGTACTGACAATATGGTTAGTATACCTCTTTTTGAACGCATAAGAGAATATAAATTTTGGAATTTTCTTCCTAAAGAATTTATTAGAAAGTCTGTTCTTTCTAGCATATTTTCGCTCAAGCCTGGTGTGAAATAGGGTTTGAAACGTTACTTTTTACTACAGTTTCTTTAATTATAGAAAAATGATTATGCAATAATTCTATTTGTCTAAGACTACTTTTAAATCTAAGTAATGAATAAATGTGTGCTTTATGGATTAACCTACGTTACCTAACTATGGGAAGAATAAGATTTTCTAAGGGGGTTGTACTTATTTAATCGGTACTACATTCTATTTTAAACGTTTGAAGCAGCAGGATCATCAGCGATATCATTATCATCCTGGTTACCCTGTAAAACGTTTTCTAAATTAATTTTAGGTTTCCTAATAATACTCTTGTAATTAGTGCCTTTGTTTGTTTTCAACAAGACCCGTCATCTTCGATTATTTCTATCTTTTTTAATTTGGGCAATTTTTATTGGCGTTATTAAGGAAATTTTCTTTGATCTTCTCATTACGTTCTTTAATAATGTTATAAAGTTGTTTGCTAGCTTCTTTGTGGTTTTGAACATACAAACAAAAATATGGTGATCATCGAGATCGAAAGAATCAGGATTTTTAATATGGCCAGAATGTTTTGAATTGTTGTAACTTAATATTGAATGTTTATTGGGCGATGATTCGTTATTTTGTTCTCTTAAACATCTATAGTGCTCTATTAAACTAGAGTGGAAAAGCTTTACTAGAGAATTTGAGGTGCTATTTTTCGCCGTTGTGAAATGATGTTCTTTTTTGTGCAATTTGCAAAAGATTTCAATGTCCATGTTTTTAAATTCGGTACCACAATCCTCCGTTATTTTGTAGGGTAGCCCGGGATGGGATATAAAATTGTATAAATTGTCTACAATTGATATACCACTGATATAAGTTTTATAAACTACATTAACAGCCACCTCGTATATTATTATTAATATTCATGGGTCTATGAAATGACCGCCTGAAACACACATGATTGTTACTTAATGGTGGCCACGGTTTACGTTAGGAAGGTAGGTATAAGATCTAATCGTTCATAGCCCACACGAAATGCGTAATAGAACTTCGATAAACAAAGAAAACGCCACCTTCAAAAGGTTTTAACACGCATGACGCGAGCTCCACCTAATCGAAGCTAGAACTTACAGCACCAGCACAGCCACTGCTATTTGTGAACTACATCGAGATGCGTAAAAAAAATAATCAATAAAGGTTTTGAGTAAACAATATTTTATCAACATTTTTTTATATCAGTTACATTGTGGAATGTTAAAAGTGAACAGTATAGTGAGAAAATATTAGACAATATTTGGTTCAATAACCCTCCAAAAATTGGTAATACAGTGAACAAAGTAAGGCCAGATAATTACCGGTGTTTATAGTTTTCAAGGTAAATTAGTCGAACAATTGCATGTTATGTGTTGTTTAGTTATGAGTAAGTTATTTTTGTCACAAAATAGAAAATCGAAAACTTTATTACTTATTTCATTTTTACATTTCATATTACGTAATAGATTGTTAAGAAAAAAATGTTTTTACGCGCTTGCTTAAATCAATAGGAATTATTTAGTGTGAACTCTTATCTAGTATCAATATCATACGTTATTATTACCGAGGTTATTACATACAGGGTAGCAAAAAGGTTAACAAGGTATTTTCTTTGAAACGAATGAATGTGTAATTATGAAATTGTAGGGGGATGAATGGGATTGTATTTTGCATTTTTTAGAGGACATGTCAAATTTAGGCGACGTTAGCATTTAGCTTACTTTGTTCTCTTTTTAAAAATAATAAAAAAGTACCACATTACTAATGAAAAACCCTATAACTTTGTAGTTCTATCTCGTGTTATTTTAATCTACTTTTATTTTTCATTATTCTTGGTTTACCACTGGTAGATAGTTAATAATTATGAAACTAAAAACAGGGGTGCGTTCAGAAATGTAGCGTAAAGACGTAATTTTTACTCGACTTGCGCAGTATGTCATAAAAGAAACACCTAGTATTTAATTTTCTATTTTTACTTTCTGAGTAAAAAAATATTTAAATATGAGTATGAGTGAGAGAATTAATTCCATCAATTATCGTCTAGTTGTCAGAAACGATGGTAATTTCTTTATAGAAAATGATAAAATTTTATGACACAGGATTAAAGGTAATGAATTGAATTTTTACATAAAAAAGTCTATGTGGACGCCAATAATGTTATCTATTTACTAATTTTTTATAATTCTTACAATCTCAGATAACAGAAAAGACAAACAAAAAAAAAATACGTGTGGCACTCGGGGACTGCCGCGGTAAAGTTATTGCATAGCATTTTTTATCAACTTATGCAATTATAATTATTTATTTATTTTATTTATGCAGTATTTTTTTTTCTTTGATATTAATTCAAGTTACACTTTTTGAGCGTGGTGACCGATAAGAAAACAAATTTTTTTCTTTTATTGAATAAATGAGAAGTTCTTAATATTGTTTAAAATATTTTTATTATCTTACATGTAGGTTATTCAGGAATTTTTATCATTGAAACTATAGGTTTATGGTAACTGAAATAAGAAACATAAGTTTGAGACTTGATATCCTCTAAATATCTGGAAAATACCGCGTCAATGGTGGTCCCTTATTTTGTTGTGGATTCTTGTGGATCATTCATTTTCAAATTAAATTTTCCGAAATTGTGTCTAAAAGAGATAGAATCAGTTATGAGCAGTTAGCAACCACGCATACGTCTAGTCGCACGCCCCCAAACATCGTGCCGAAGTCTGCCGAACTGAAACGACGTTAGACGTTGCACGGCTTTCAACGATGCACCGCTGTGCCGGTCGGAGTGAGGGGTGTTAGTTTTTTTTTTGTTACGGAATTTCTTTTTTCGATTTTTCGATTTTTTTAAAATTTTTCGATTTTTGGGTTTTTCTATTTTCTTTTATTGAATAAATGAGAAGTTAATATTGTTTAACGCCGCACTGCTGTGCCGGTCAGAATGGGGGGTGTTAAGCCTTGGTTTCTTTGAACACTCCGCGCCGTGAGCGGACAGTCCGTCGACCGCTGAGGACAGCAATTTTCGCCTGAGGTGGTTTGTTAAAAAATATAGAAAATGATACTTTCTCTATGTCTGTACGTGCTGTTTATGTATTAAGAATGTAAACGAAAGGTACTAAAATGGATGCAAATAAATTGTTTGCGTTGTTATTATTGTTGGAAGAGGAAGAACAAGAGGAACTGGCAATTGCAACCGTCAAAGTTTCCAATAAGCCAGTAGATGAGTTGTTTTTGTGTCGCGATACAGAAGATGCCTTTAATATCACTGTGCAGCGGAGGCTTTTTGGAAATAAAACCAAATTTAGGGAGTATTTTAGACTTTCTACAGATCTTTTTGAATTCGTGTTGAGTTTTATAAAGGACATAATTTCCAAGAAACCTAAAAATAAAGTCATGATGTCATCTGTATGTGTGAATTTGTCACTTATTGTTTTAAAATTAATAACAATATAGTCTCCGCACACGCCGACGATTCCGCTGATATCAAACTCAACAGATATCAACCGACTCTTCGCGACAAATCAGCGGCATGACGCCGTCCTGCTCAGCTAAGCGGATTCAAGAAAACCATTCCCATTTAAATACTCTGGTTGGATAAAATTGTCAAAACGCGACGGTTGACGGAGTGTCCGCTCACCGCGACGAAGTGTTCAAAGAAACCAAGGCTTTAGGTTTATTTTCGTTACGGAATTTTTTTCGATTTTTCGATTTCACGATTTTTCGATTTTTTAAATTTTTCGATTTTTGGGTTTTTCGATTTTTCGATTTTCTTTTATTGAATAAATAAGAAGTTAATATTGTTTAACGCCGCACCGCTGTGCCGGCCGGAATGGGGGGTGTTAGGTTTATTTTCGTCACGGAATTTCTTGATTCAGTCGCCGCGCTCAAATAAGCCCGCGATAAAAGCTATGCAATAGCTTAAAAATTAATATCTAATATTTACGCCAGCCGGGAACATTTGTGATACCAATTTATTAGAAGCCAGAGAAAGCTCTTCTAGTTCTTGGATTGCATAAACATTCCAGTCCGCAGACGTATATTTAACTCCACTTCATACTAATACGAATAGGGTCGGATAAAACCTTCCACGGCTTTCAACACCGCACCGCTGTGCTGGTTGAAGTGGGGGTGTTAGGTTTATTTTCGTTACGGTGTTACGATATTTTTTGATTCGGTCGCCGCGCTCAAAGCCCGCGATAAAAGCTATGCAATAGCTTAAAACTTGATTTGACAATACACTTACCATTCGTATTTATCGGACAAAAATAAACGTTCCGACGAATTTTGTCCTTGCGATTGAAAATTTGACGCTTTCGATTTCTGAACGCACCCCAATAGTAGGCATTGAAAAAATGTCAAAAACATTTTATATATAATAAAATGTCAGATTTAATTTAGTATTAATTAAGCATTCCAACGACCAATCAAATAATAGCTGCCAGTTGGAAAGGCTCGTATATTTAAGGGTTTTTTTACTCTTACAGGTATCCTTCATCCAATTTATAAAAACAGTAGAATTTTTTAAAAAAAATATTATTTCATTTTGTTCGACATAAAATATTTAAATTTAATCAATTATACATGATTTCACGTATTGTAGATAGAGTATACTAACCCTTCCCATCGACAGTTCTGTGCGTAGATAAGCTGGAATATCCTCGTGGGCTTACTTCTCGTCCAGGACAAAATAATTAAAACACAGAACACGACAAAATAATCCACTTTTTTGAAAACCAAATAACTTTAATAAGCCATATAAACACACTACAAGTTGTTGTGATTAAAATGAATATTATGTTCTATTTGTTAATAAAATGTTGCATATGCAACTAACAATACAAGAAAGGAGTAATATTGGTTGCGTAGATGTCAGTAATTTCTTACTCAAATATAATTTTATTAATAATCTAGTCAAAATTAAAAAAAATGTATTTAACGCCTTACGAAATGCCGATTAATGTAACTTGTTCATGTTGCGGATCCCGCTCTGCTCCTCCCGTAAATATTTACTCGTTACACAAAATAAAACAGTTCACAAATGGTTTCATAAATATTCAACATTATACATTATGCAACTGTTTGCGTAAAGTAGATCATTTTGACACTTGCTGCAATTACAAAAAATGTCAAAATTAGAAATAGTTATTTATGCAACAAGTGTGTAAAGTTACTCTATTTTGACTTACTCCATGGAGTGCGTAAAGTGCACGGTAGTAGAAAAAAGTAAATTATTGCTATTAGCGATGGATGTAGAACAGAAGTAAAAGTTGGAAATGCTTTTGCCAGTTCTCCCACTTTATACACATAAATTGACAGGTTGGCACCGGATCTCACCGAAGTGGACGCGATACATTGGCGTACAAAATTATTTTATAGATTTTAATAACAATTTCGAGTAAATAGTTTAATAAATTGTGAATAGCTGTTGAAATTTTGTAAAATTTTAATTTGAATATTATAATACATGTTTAATAATTATTTATAATCCATAAATACATGCGATTGTCCGGTTCCGCCGATAACAATTTAAAATTACTTATTCTATGAAACGACACTGGCAGGTAAACATTACTGTGAAATTCTCGGAGCCGCCCGACGTGGTTTGACGTTTACCCCCTCTCTACCTACCAAAAGACTTTTCAACTTTTACTTTCTCTATATATACATGGTGGTTCTTTAATAATTGTACATAGAACCATTTAAAAAGATTCTTTATAAAATAAACGTTAAAAAAACAATTAAAGCTAAATAAATTTCTTTAGTTGCCGGTTTTCCAAAGCTGAAAAAAAAATAAAATTTCTAATTCCACAGGCCTACTAATTATTATTTGCACTTTCGAATGAGATAATATGAAATTTTCAAATGCTTTTCTCTTGAAAATGGTGCGTCATAGATGCAACAAAAGTAGCTTTATTATAAAGAAAACATTGGTTTTCTAAATTTTGCAGTAAAAAATGTTAAAAACTGTCAACAAAAGATGATCCAAAACTTAGTTATTTTTAAACGTTTAGAAAATGTTTACAAAAATATGTCATCAGGACTTCACTTTTAACACCCTGTATCTCGGAAACGAAACGTTTTTGGACCTATGTTTATATGAACTTTTACTCCTATTTTAGGATGTAAATTACGCTGTTAAAATATAACCGTTTAATTTTGGGACACCTGTATAACAGAAAGTTAAATTTTAAGATGTATTTTTTGCAATAACTTTAACGTTTTTGGAGATGCATATATACAAATTTGAAAATGGGTGTTTATGAGCACGAGAAATCATAATCTGGTACCTACTTCATTGTAATGTGTAGAGGACGTTACATATGCCACATTTGTGCCATAAATGTGCGCTAAAATTTGACAGCTAACATTTGACTGCTAACATTTTTTGTTGTTTAACCCTGTAATGCATGAATTTTTTTGTGCAGTAAAAAAATTCTTGGAAATGTAATTCGTTAATAAAACGTGAAATAATAATAGTAAAAAGTAATTTTGATGTTGATATTACCTGTTACAGGTAAAAAAAGATAGTCCGCCTACAGGCGGACCTGTGCATTCCTAGTCAGTTAAAATGGGGACAGGGAAATGTAGAAATAATGTAAAAATTTTAAATGTATATTTCAAATAATTATACAATACAACTACTTATTGTGAAAATCAAAAAAACATGTTTTTGTTGTAGAATTGCACAAGTTAAGATTGCACTTAGTACAAAATGCTTGGGTTTCCGAAGTGCATTTGGGAAATTTGCACTGCTTTTTTCCCGTTCTATCTCTGAATATACACCAGTGTCCCACTGCATCGTAACGAATATCCTCTGTTGGAAAGTATGCCCTTTTGGGGGGCGTTGGAGATGCTCTTGGCGATGCAGATGATGGCCGTCCGACGCTCCTTTTCTGCAGTTCTTGTCCATGTAGACAAAGCGATTCTGCGACTTGGGTTCTAAAAACGGGGAGCTCAACTTTTTTCTCCTTTTCTGGATGAACGCGGTGGTATAGTATATAAGCATTTACCATTGCAATGTCCAGAAGATGGTAAAATATACGGTTTGACCATTTACGGGTCTTCATACGAATATGATATCGTCCAATGAGTCCGTTCATCAAGTCAACACCACCCATATGCCGATTATATTCTGTTATAATATGTGGGCAATCAATTTCATATTGCTTTTTTCTTTTTTATCCCATCGAGTGACAGTCTTTGGCTTGGTGGTTGGAGTTTTTGACTTAAATAAATCGGTACCAACGTACGTTGACAAAAGTCTAACAGTTTTCGTGTCCTGCCACAAAACCGAGAAAATGTCAATTCCAAAGGCATTTCCAATGTACTCTTCGGAATACCCGCGAGAAACTTTTTTAATTTTTAGAGTAGCGTCACTCGAAAGTTTGCAGGAAGGCACACGGTTTGTGCGCACCGTACCCAAAGAGTAGATTCCTCGGCTTCTTAGATATACCATTAGTCCGAGAGACGTGTAAAAGTTGTCAAAGTATATAATGTGATTGTAAAAATTGGGAACACGTTGTGATAAGCGAAATACTACATTAGATGATGCTCCAAGATTTGGACAATTTTGGGGGACAGTATTGTCACCAGCACCCGCATATATTTCAAATGTATATGAAAAACCTTTACAGTCACAAGGAGACAAAAGTTGATACCCCATTTATGAGGTTTTTTGGGAAGATACTGCCTAAGACTGGTTCCTGTCATCTTCGTCGCGCACATTTGTTCATCTACGGAAAGTCGTTGTAGCATAGGCACTGTAATAAACTGCCTGTTAAAATGATTAACAACTGATCTAACTTTATACAAGGGATCGTATCCTGCCCTTCCTTTTTCTATTGCCTTCGAATTGTCACTAAAATGAACGTAGCGTCGGATTTCTTCAAATCGCAGTACTGGTATTGTCTGACGAATTGGTTCAAATGCATGTCTTCCCCAATATGATCGTACATTTGGATATTTATATACTGACATATATATAAGAACACCAATAAATTTTTGTAGCTCAGTTGACTTTAAAACGAACTTCGTCTGAATATCTGTTTGTCGTGCGTATAAGTTGGTCTGTTCGGTAATATGCTGAAACAATTCGTCATTCATAAAACAGTCATACGGAGTTTTCAATTGCTTCAAATAATTTGGCAAGTCTTTTGGTCCTTGAAATATTAATTCATTGACGTGTACCTGAACCTTTTTCTTTCTCCATGTAATATTTTTCAATTCTGCACACTCGTTATTGAAAGTCATAATATCTCCAATAAACGTTCCAGTAGTGGGGACATTAGGCCCACCTTCTTCTTCAATTAGGTCCGGTGATAGAGGACGTTTTGAACGTTTTTTGTATGTTGTGAGGGGTGCTGGACCAGTAGCATTAGTCTGATCAGAAATTTCGTCATTAGGGATTGCAGATGATGAATTAGCATCGTTAGGTCCTATTGAAGTCTCACCAGTTGATTTCTCTTGATAATTCAGCTCGTCCAACTCATCTTCCGCAGTTACCAAATGATTTGAACACGTGTCGATATCATCATCAGTATCGCAATCTGATTCGTCATCATCGCTGGTGTCAATATCCGTAGGGATCTCATCCATCATTTCATGGATTTGATCGTCAGTCATATTTTCTAAGCCCAAATATTTTTTTCGCCAAGCCATAACTGAAAATTTACATAATCTAAGTCTAACTTTTGATATTGCAGTTTCCTAACTTTTAAAGAACACTCAGTATAGTCTTCTACAAATATATAATTTTTCTTAAACAAGGGAATAAACGATTATTACCTCTCTTCCAAAAAATAAGACAAATCGATGAATAGCGGTATTTAATTTTTTTGATACTTCTAATGCATAGGTCCGCCTACAGGCGGTTAAGACTTTTATGGAGCTCTGGAGCCCTAAATATTTTTTTGTAATAACCCTCACAAAAAACTAAAGGTACACTACTTACCGATAATTTTTTCAGCACCAAAAAACCTCTGGAAATATTTTTAAAAAATTCACGAATTCACGGTTCACAGATATCTGAATTTTATACCCGCTCTTGACAATACTGTGATTTTACACAGGTGTTATTTTTAAATATCAGTCGTAGCGGCAACCAATTATACACAACATCGTAGAGTGTGGTATAACTTTAGGGTGGGTTATACTTTAAACATAAAAATAATTGATTTCTAGATAAATTTTAGTGTTACAATCAAGTCCGCCTTGAGGCAGAGGAATGCAGTAGAGGGTTAAATTAGCGGTATTGCAAAATAATAATAAATCCACGGTATTTTAATAGAAAAAAAAAGTATACTTGTTATTAACCTTAAAACTTAACGGTTTTCGATATAATAGCATTGCATAATTATTATTTAATGCAATACATTTTATTTAGAAAACAAATTAATGAAAACTAAGCTAAATAACATTATAGTTTTAATTAAATGTTCGATATGTCCTCCATTTTATGTTCCATTAAAGATTCGGAGAGTTCCCTGGACTTCCCCTGGAGCCCCCTTGATTGGATAAGTTCAGATGACTATGTTTTGTCATATGTCATAAATGACGTTTAATCATTATTCTTTAACCATTTTATTTAATTTCTAAAGTTCATCAGAAATAGTTATCTCTATAAAATAATTCAAACATAATTCATAATTAATTAATACACTTTTTTTTATCAACTCAAGTATAGTGTTTTATATCATTTTGACAAAGCAATGACTTATGGTAATTTATTTAATACTTTTCGTTTATCAAATCCAACTACTTTTAATTATTGTATTTGGATTTTTTATAAATTATTCGTATATTTTTGTTACAGAATTTGCCTTCCACCCGTTCCGCAATGATCTAGCAGATTACAGCAAAATATATACCAATTTGTGATAATTTAAACTGTCAAAGATAATTTAATGTCGAATCATCAAACTTTAATTAAAAACGTTAAAAATGAGCGTAGACAGTACGAACCCAGGCTCTTCCGGCGTGCCTACTTCTGTGATGTTACAGACTCTGCCTCAGATAGACGAGGAAGACCCCAAAAACACAAAGCCTCCAAAAGACAGGTTGCTAGAATTTCTCGACATACTAGAAGGACATGTAGAACAGTTAAGAAAAAACGCCAGTCAGTTGGAAGAAGACAAGGACGCAGTATTGGTTGCATTGGATTCAGTAATCAACGCTGATCTGCTTTACAATTTAGAGGATAATGATAGGGACGATGTCAATAGATACGTAGAAAGAATAATAAACAGATCTCTTACAGTGGAGGTTAAAGTACTCACTCAAAGAGATAGAATGCAAGAAGATGCCTTATACCAAGTCAACCATCTCATCGATGGTCTAGTTGTGGTGATGAAAACGGATGCCGAAACAGCTCAGGCTAAATGCATTAGCTATATGAACGCTTGTTCGTCTAGCGTAGTCCATGGAGTGACAGATAAAAACTTTGAATCAGCATTACTTGGATGCTCCTTGGACGATCAAAAGAAAGTTAAGAGAAGATTGCAGGGTTTATTGAATTATTTTGAAAAAATTAAAGTTGTTCCTTATAATAATTAAAAACGATTTAATTAATTAGATTTTTATTTTGGAAAATTTTAAGTAGTACTTAGAAAATTGAATAATCTTTAACAAGATAGTCAAAGAGTAGTCATAAAAGAAAAAGAATATTAATCGTGTATAAAAACAACTGGGAATAAAAAAAAATGATATACGAGAGCTGTCCAGAAAGTAACATACGTTTTTAAAATAACACATTACCTGAAAAAAAAATAATTTTATACATTTTGAAGGTAAACTCTTAGGCTATTTTTCTACAAAATCGCCATTTAAATTAAGGCATCTATCATAACGTGGTACAATCTTTTCAATGCCCTCTCTGTAGAAATCTGCCACCTGCGAGTTCAACCACTGGTTTACACCGGCATGCAGTTCAGCGTCAGTGTCAAAGCGTTGCGTAGCGAGCCACGTATTCATCGCTGGAAATAGGTAGTAGTCGCTGGCGCTAAATCCTGGCTGTACGGTGGATTATTGAAAACTTCGCATTCAAACCCATCCAAGAACTTTTGGGTACGATTGGCCGTGTGTGGGCGAGCATTGTCGTGGAAAAACAAAACTTTTTTGCTGAGTTTTCCACATCAAAAATCTGACGATAAATGTCAATTGATTTGTGATTTTTCGCCAACAAGAACCTTAGCACAGCCCGCACTTTACAACTGGCGGGATTTTCAATTGCAGCGCTCATTTCAACACTCCACTGTAAACAAAGTACGATATAAAACGATTAGCATGCTATCACGGCTCGTTGCGTACTGAGTGTAGAAACCAGTGTTGCCAGAGCACTCTGCAGGAATGTAATAGATGAACTCTCAAAATTGTAATAAATTTGAAGAAAATGTAATAGAAATTTTAGTCAACGTAAAATGAACTAACTATACATAAAAATAGATTCATTGTATTGATATTGATAATTAATGTTTTATGTTTTTAATATACATTTAAACCTATTTATTGATAAAACCAACGACAATCTTTCAATTATTGTCATAATGCAGCACGAGGATTTTTTTATACCACATTCTTAAAATTTTAGGTTTGTTGCAACAGCAGACTCATTCTGAATTTATCTGCGAATGAGTGGTACCTGTAGGTGTAGTTCGATTTAACTGTTCTACTCTTCGTATTACTCTTGCGCATATACATTCTGTTCGAGAATGGATTTATTTTCTTTATTAATTTCTTAATTTAAATTCGCGTTATCTATTTTGACACTTTGCCCCACCTAAACGGTTCATGCTTTGGACCTTTTAAAAGAATCAGGAGACATCGATGTATCGCCAACAAAGTAACAAATTCGTTCGCCGTCGCTTAATATTTGTGCCTTTTTGCTTCATGTACAGGCGCGGATACAGGAATTCGTTTAGGGGGGGGCAATTTTTGTGTGATTTTACCTACCTTCCAGAAAATTCGTTCTAAACATGCTTTTTTTATAAATGTTAGTTTATTATTACAAGGATGTAATACGTTCATTTGCATTACTTTGTTAATGTGTGTCAAAAAAGTTAAATTAAAACCCATAGGTATAAAAAAAAACATTTAATTTAAAGTAAGTAGAATAATTTTATTATAATATGGCTCTTAAATAATAAACTCCAATCTCTTCTTATGGCCGGTTTTTGCATATCTTGTGATCACTTTCTCCATGTCAATAGGAATATGCCTATGAATATGCATAAGGGCAAGACCAAGGAGGCGGTTTTCAGTCATGGTTGCTCTTAAATATGTTTTAAGGCGGCGCAACGACGAAAATGACCTCTCAGCAGATGCATTTGTAACTGGAAGCGTTGCAAGGACTAGTACAAATTCATGTATAATGGGAAATGCATCCTTATCACACCTAGCCAGTATTTCCAGAGCTGTTATGGGAAGCTCTTTTTGTTGTTCCTTTTCTTGGACCCATTTCTCCCGTTACAGCAACAATTAATCTTTTAACAAAAGAGAGGCAGCGCCCTTATCGACGCCAAGAAGCAATCCAAATCGATCGAGGAGGAACTTTATACTTTTGTCATTTTCACCAGGAGAACTTTTAATAATATTTTCTGGAATAAAAACTGATAGCTGAAAGACGCCTAAGGTTTCTGCTGAAAATCTTTCTCGCAGATCTGTGAGAACAGAGTCTAGTAAAGGGGCATAAATTGATACTCTGTAGTATTCCTCGGCTGAATTCATTTGATGGTTGGCACGATAAATTTGGCGTCCACCAAGGCGAGGGATACGAGGAATATTCAGCTCGATACCCAGTTAATTGGCTAGATTTTCTGCACGCTGCCAGATGTTGTTAAAACTAGCGTCAATATTTTCCCGACGACTGGCAAGAATTGAAATTATGTTCTTTACTTGCACAGCACTGCCATTAAGATCGAGCGCCGTCTTCTGTAATAATTTACTTAGAGACTGCGTTAGAGACAGTACATCACTCAGACACAATACTGATACCATGAATTGTGTATTACATAAAGTTGTTACCAGTGAAGCAGCCTTGCCAGCTGTGCTCGGGTCACGCCACTCTGAAATCTTTCCTAGAGTCTCCACAATCTTTGCGAGGTCAACAGAAAATTGAAGTACACCTTCATGCCGCTCTACCCACCGGGTCTCACAAAGCGATGTAAGCGCACATCCCAAAGTGCTCATGAGAACATGTTTTCGTTTCGGATGTGATTTAAAGAAAGCAATTACTTCTTTCATACTTGCAACAGCGTCCCGGATAGCAGGCACTTTGGAGCTACGGGAAATAGAGTTATTTAGCTTGTGGCTATAGCATGGTACCCTGACAGCGTTTTTGGCTTCCTTCTGAACCTCCGTGACAGCACCTCGAACTTCGGAAAGCATAACGGCACATCCGTCTGTGCCTATCCCAAGACACTGTTCCAGTGGAAGTTTCAGCTTCTTTTTTAGCTGGTATAGGACAATTTGGCCAATGGCCTTGCCGGTTAAAGATAACTCCTTAGGTGTGGAGGGTCCGTCCAACTTTTCTTCGGCAGTAAGTAGTTTTTTGGTTTCTTTCCAATTTTCTTCATCGGATTCGTAGTCATGCTCATGTTTAGCATAAGCTAGTTCCTCAAACGGATCCACAAAACTGACGAAATCCTCATGAATATTACCATCATGCACGTATCGTAAGGTAAGGCTCAGCTGGGACAGATGAGATACATCTGTTGTCTCGTCAAAAAGTATTGAATAGTATCGTGACGCCCGTACTTTACTCAAAATTTGCTCAGAAATCTCTTGCCCGCAGCATGAAATAAGCATATTTTGTGTTGTCTTGCTTATATATGTAGCATTAGAAGAAGCTGATTGTAAATGTTTCTCTAGTTTTTTATCGCCAGCAGATACTCGAAACCTTAAAAGTTCTCTGAAATTCCCTTCGTTCACAGTCATGTCACATTCGTTGGAAATCTCAGTGTTATGAAGTATCGGTCCATCATCTCTGTGCCCCCGGAATGCTAAATTTTGCCGCCCGAGGAAGATAATAGTTTCGACTATAGGACGAAGTCGCTCTCTGTTTTCTTCCACCTTTTTGAGACGCTGTTGATGTACACGGTTGATTACTTCCAAGTTAGGATTATTATAGGTATGAAGGAATGCTACTCCCTGTTCTGCAGCTCGTTTATGATAAATATAATTAGCATGTGTCTCCAAATCCCCATTCTGCCCTGCAATATCCTTAAAGTTTATCAAGGGTTTTGTAACAAGCTTTTGCAGAGGCACAGTTTTTTGACCTCCACCAACACCACCAGTTGCGAAAAAAGGGCAGTATTTACAAAATAAACCTTGTTTCGCAGGTGAAAATACAAGCCAAGGGTATTTGCTGAGATACTTATGCCCAAAATATCGTTTCACCTCCTTACCTTTAATCAAGTGTGAGGAGTATGGGAACTTGTAGTCATCTTTTGGTTGCCAATGGTTTGACAGGAGCTGATATTTTGTGTAGTCATCTAAATGTTTATTTAAAAAATTTCCTATATCATAGGGGACATTTGATCTATTGCACACTGTAGACTCGAGAACCCGGGAAGAAGTAGCAACTACTATTATGATTATTTAAGCTATCACTGCTATCAAACACAGTGGACTCGGGAGTCCGGGAAGAAGCATGAGCAATAGGGTCCACCACCTTATTACTGTTATCTAGTCCAAAAACAGGGGTTGCAGCACGCTTACTGAGAGGCTGAAAAAATGATTCAATACCTCGGATTTCTGAGGTTCGCTTCTTTGACGACCCCGGCTGCTGATTTGCCTGTTGACAAAGAAAGCCAATGTTAATATGAGCTTATGGATCACGATTTCTTCGAAAAGAAACGAACGGCGGGCACAAGCGTAACAAATTCGCAGCGAGAAACACAACACATTTTTCTATTCAGATAATTAAAATTTAATTTAACAATAAACATTTAAATAAATCAAACATTTAAGTCACTTAGTTACCTATTTTAATGTAAGACGCTTGTGCTAAGCCTAATTTCAAGCAAAATTGCCTTTTAGAATTTAGATAAAGTTTAAAATAACATTTTTATAGTATGTATTCAAGTAACTTACCATGACTGAAGAGATGAAACAAATAATACTATGTGGCACTGTGTAGATTGTGAATCTATTTTATCCGTGTTGCCTACTGGCGTGCGACAAAACACTGTCTCAACTCAATCAAGTGTGCAAACTGCAAACTAGCCTAGCGTGGAAGCAGCGTTGCCAGGTATACCATTATTATGGTATTTATACCATTTTTTCTACTACGATACCTGCAAGTTTTTGAGGATACCATTTTCCATTTTTGTACCATTTTTGGGCTACTGATACCATTTTACTACCATATTTTTAAATCTTAGATTTTTATTTGTTTCAATATAATAATACGAGTAAAACGTAGCACTCTGTAGGTACATCTCTACTCTACACGGAAAAAAAATTGTAGAAGAAATTTCTACAATTATAGATTTTTTCTCTACAATAAATAGTACATATAGGGACAGGGACAATTTGTAGTAAAAATTTCCAAATATTTGTGGAGAATGTATTGTAGAGTTATTATCTACAATAATTAGTAAAAATATCAAAATGCATCATAAGAATTGTTCTACAAATTGTTATAATTTTTGCTATTCATTGTATGAATTTATATTAAAAATGTATTGCGTATTATGAAAATAAATACGAAAATTTTACACAATAAATAGTAAAAATTCATACAAATTGTAGTAATTTTTAATAAAACTTGTAGTAGTATTCCATAATTATTATAATTATAACCTAGAAAAAAATGTTCCTTAATAAAATATTCAATTTATTGTTTTAATATAAAAGATACAAAGTCTTAATTACATTATGTAATAAATAACAGTAATAATAGCACCCTCAGTCTCAGTTGGCTTTTCTGCACCTGAAAAATATGAAATAAAAATTAATAAGAATTGAACTGTTCATACCCTTAAAACGGGGATATTTATCACCTTTACACTGATTTGGATATTAAATGACTAAGTCAGATAACTAACAAAAATGAGAAAGTAGGTATGTCACAAATAAGACAAAAAAAATCATTGAATTTGGCACAAAATTCGATCTTGGGCACAACATTCGATCGTTGGCCACAACTATTTTTTTTAAAATAATCTACTAAGGTTATTTAAATTAGTTATCTAAAGGTAAATTATTCAAAAACAATAAATGTACTTACCACCAATAGAATTTAATATTAAAATTTTCTCAAACGCACCGGTGCTTATAATATAATAATGTGTTATAGGTACTCGTATATGTCCATGCTTTGTTATGTGAACATGGCGAACGGCTACTGCTGTCTGGC